ACTGGGACTGATGGAAGGATGAGGCTGATGAGACTGAAGAATCTGTGACGAACTAGCAGCTGAGAAATAATAATATATTAAAAGACAGCAGCTTCATAAGAAGCCAACAAGAGTGACATGAGTGTGTCAGTGTGCAGTCTACCATCCTCTTAAAATACTCTGTCCAACAATATCAGTCTCATGAAGAAAGGTTTTTTAACGCTTATTCAAAATTAGCAGAGAAACATGCATTCTTGTTCTCAGGAGGGTACATTGACAGAGGATTGTTGGAAAAGTACACAGTAAGTACTTCATAGTACTTGTGGGGGTAGTTTCACTAGTACTGAGTCCAACAGGATCAATCTCACGAAGAACTAATGACAAAAAAGAATTCCCTCATCAAACTTAGCAGAAGTGGCTTGATTTTGTTCTCAGCAGGGGACTTTTGACAGAGGATTTCTCAAAAAATACACAGTAAAAGTATTTCAATGTAATTGTAAGTAGTAGGCTAACTAATACAAAGTCAAGCATTATCAATTTCATTAAGAACTAATGGTAAAATTATATTTTTATCATTTATCAAAGATAGCAGAAAAACATTTTGTTGAATTGGACACATTTTTCAAAGCTCTATTGACTGACATGCAATGACTGGGACTGATGGAAGAATCTGCGAGGAATGAACTAGGAGCAGAGAAATAATCCTATTTTAAAAGACAGCAGCTTCATAAGAGGCCAACAAGAGTGACAGAGTGTGTCAGTGTGCTGAAGGATAGACCAGCTACAGGCCAGACTCTATAGACTTTCCAAGGGGTAAAATGCTGCTGCCGGAGTACTGACCGGAAGTATTGCTGATATCAAGTCTACCATCCTCTTAAAATACTCTGTCCAACAATATCAGTTTCATGAAGAAAGGTTTTTTTTAACGCTTATTCAAAATAGCAGAGAAACATGCATTCTTGTTCTCAGGAGGGGACATTGACAGAGGAGTACTGGAAAAGTACTACATAGTAGGGGGTATTTTCAGTGGTACTGAGTCCAACAGGATCAATCTCACGAAGAACTAATGGCAACAAAAAAGAATTCCCTCATCAAACTTAGCAGAAGTGGCTTGATTTTGTTCTAAGCAGGGGACTTTGACAGAGTATTTCTCAAAAAATACACAGTAAAAGTACTTCAATGTATTGTAAGTAGTAGGCTAACTAATACAAAGTCAAACAGTGTCAATTTCATTAAGAACTAATGGTAAAATTATATTTTTATCATTCATCAAATATAGCAGAAAAACATGCATTATGTAGCCTACTAAGGAGGGGACTTTGACAGAGGATTGCTCACAAAGTACACAGCAAAAGTACTTTTCTTAAGAACTTGTGGTAAAACATATTTGTATCACTCGTCAAATATAGCAGCTGATTTGAACAAACAAACGCGAGAGGCGGCTGAGTTGACCGCAGTGCAGAATCGCTGTATAGTTTAAATCTCCTAACAATGTTGTCCATTTTAGACACAGGCTTATTATATTTACAGCCCTTAATAACATCCATTTTCTCGGCTCAATATATGTCTACGCCGTTTTCGTTGTGATCGCTAAATTCACCTTGTTTCCCTTTGTTTATAATATTATCACCGCTTTGTTTTGAAATCACTTCCGTGAGTTTCGCCCCGCCCCTCGCTCCAATGACCATCAGACCATTTAGTAAGGTAAAAAGCAAAAAAGCCTCTCAAACGCTCTTCCGTTTACGTGTTTAATAAAGAAAAACAATTGGACGGTAGATACACGGATTTATTTTGTATGTACATTCTTCTTATAAATATGTTTAATAAAAAACAAATAAATATACCACAACAACTACTACTACTACTTCTTGGCATTTAAAATAAATAAATAAACACGAGTGTCAATGATGATCATTAGCCTTTTACTAGAGTCAAGTGTTTTTTGGGGACAGCGTTACAAAGTTTTGGGGGCGGGGCCATTTGTTTGACGTCATAATATATGTTGCCTAGTGTAAACAGTCCATTGGCTGATTCTTTGTGATGGGGGTTCCCTGCCCCGGATTGCAGGGGTGAAACAATAAATACAACCTATCACTTTAAATCTTCAATCTCTGGTACAGCAGAGATCATAAACTGTTAGGTAGTCAAACGAGGGGAAATATCATTATACACACCTGGGATATTCCAGAACAGTGTTCAGCTGGTCACTCGTAGATATTTATTAACAATAATTCTGTCTACATAGATAGGTCTTTCATAAGGTAAGTTAGCCATCCTCCAAGCTCTGTCAGGCTACCAGCTAATGTTAGCTGCATTGTCTGGTCGAAAACACGACTGCTCGCCAGACCGGTAGTACTCATTTAAAGTTATCAACTAGAGGTGTCGCTTCTGTATACATAGCGCACCTTAGCTATTTAGCTTTGAGTGTCAGTTAAATTAGTCAAATTTGCCTTCCTTTGTTTTTTTTGAGCTAGCATTAGCCCTCAACTTGTTTCATTGATAATGGTTCAGTTTTGAGTGTAGGGTAATTTATTAAAAACTTTGAGTAACTCTGAATTACCTGGTTTTGATGCAATAAGATATACGTTTGTCGTTTTTGGTCAATTTTTGCCTCATTGGCATAACATTGACATGCTTTTTTGGTGCACCACAATGGCTAACATCACCTCATCGTTATGAAGGCTTTATTTTCCCTCTCTTGCAATTAGCGTCCGACTTCTGTGTGCAGAAGTGTCATCAAAGTAACATCTTGACAGTTTTGGAATTTTCTGTGTAAACGGACAATAACCATGTGGTTCTAGTAATGTGGTGCTCCGGCAAAGTGACAGCCGGATGAAGGAAAAACGACGACGCCACAAGTTAGCTTATGCTAATGCTAGCTAACTAGCATGTCGCAAGCTTGCCGTTGCTGTTCTGTGTACTGGGTTAGCGTTAGCATTTCAAGATTACAGCCAAGAGGCAGGTAGTTCAGATTATATATTCATTCCTATATTTCACAGTCTAGCGGACGTTTGTCTTGCTGTCAATGTGGGTGCATCATTTCTATGACGGGGATGCACATTATACATCTGTAATGTCAAAGGGCTGATTAAAATGTGAGAAATAGTTGTTAGCATAGACATGAAAAGGCCTCATTTATACAGTATGCCTAGCTACAAAGGGCTGCACACATGTGTGTAACAGACCTATGTGATTGATACTTTTTATATATAGCATTTTCATTTTAGTTAAATTCGATTCGTTGTCCGTTTCCAAACTTTAACATCTGCATTAGTCTCCTTATTCTCCGACTACAGCCGGTTTCCCTCTTTTGTCTCATTGGAAGAACGTGATGGCGCAGTTGTGTTAGCCAGGCAGCTAGCTAAACAGTCAGCTGTCTTGCGTCTGCTAAATGTGATTGATGTGGGTCGGATGAACGGTGGGCCTAATAAGACAAATAACCTCGTTCTGTTCAAAAGGAGACGTGAAACACCTCTCGTACTTCATGTTCTGGCTGCCCAAACATCGATGTTGTTTATCAGCAAACGTTCACGAGTACTCGTATGAACTTCCTTAAAATGGCCTGAAGTCAAAAGCTTTATGTCCATGTGATTATCTTCTACATTCAGTTGTCAATTCGTTTGGTGCGTCCCACTATAACTAATGCAGTCTTATACTTAAGCTCTGAAACAAATCCAACCTTTTATGAAGCTCAATTGTTCTAACTGGTTTGTAAAAAGTGCAGATGGATGACCTAATACAATAAACCAGCACCATACACTACTACAGCCTGCAAAGTGACCTTAAGGTGCAGTCCACACCTCTTGAACAAATGCTAAATGCATAGAATAATAAATAAATAACCTTCAGAAATGTAGGGTTTCTAACAGGACTGTATATATATATTTTTCAAATAATTTGCATTTATAAAATGTCAACCAAGTGTATGTGTGTGTTTGAGGTTCTTGATGGCGGTATAACAATTAATCCCTTGTCTCTCTTCTGTTTCAGCACTTAATATTGTTTACCAAAGAAATGGTGATGGAGAAGCCAAGTCCCCTGCTTGTAGGGCGGGAGTTTGTGAGGCAGTATTACACACTGTTAAATAAGGCACCAGACTTCCTGCACAGGTAATTACCCAAAGAAGTTGCAAGGCACTAACTCTGTAGATGTTTGCATTGCTGTTTAACTGTCATATTTCTGTGTCATTAGGTTTTATGGGAGGAATTCTTCTTATGTTCATGGAGGACTTGACCCAAGTGGGAAGCTTGCAGAAGCAGTTTACGGTCAAGCGGTAAGTGCTATGACCAAGTAATGAAGATTCACATAAAGAAATTCTGTCTTGTATAGAATTACAAATAACAGTGATACAATTAGTATTTTTTAAATGTAGATCATAGCACTCAGTAAATAGTTAATTTAAGGATAGAATAATTGCTGGTGAAAACAATAGTGACATGATTGACCATATATCAATTTTTTTGCAGTTTGGTGTAAAGATGTGTTATTACTTGCTACCAAGGATGTGCTGAATAATGAAAGTGAATGTAAACAGCACAGGGACTGACCTCAGAACATTGCTAACTGGCAAATCCTCAATATGAATGATATTCTATGATCTAATGCAATGTTATTTTTACAGATGTATTCTCCCTTTCCCCAAATTAATTTGTATTTTTTGTCAATTTGTCTCTGCAACTCTTAGGAAATCCACAAGAAGGTCATGTCCCTGCAGTTCAGTGAGTGCCACACAAAGATCAGGCACGTGGATGCTCATGCCACACTGAGTGACGGCGTGGTGGTGCAAGTCCTTGGAGAACTGTCCAACAACGGTCAACCCATGAGGAAGTTCATGCAAACTTTCGTGCTTGCTCCAGAGGTGATTCCCTCTGCTTCTGAGTACTGTTGCCATACATATTTGAGAGTTGAGTGAGAATTAAAAAATAATTATTTCCCAAGATGTATTGCACGTGCAATGTTCTAGCATCATGCCATGTGTGTAAAAATCAAATATGAGACTGATCAGCTGGTCACCGTCAGTGCATCTTTAGCTCTACTACAGTTTTTAGTTCAGTTGCTTTTTCTAAACTGAAATAGGTCACAAAAAGAAAAAAAATGTAAAGTCTGGTTTCACAGTCTGGCAACAATAACATCTAATTGGTTCAGTTTAAAGAAAATCCCTCTTAATGATTTAGAAATTCTCACCATAGGGTTCAGTGGCCAACAAGTTCTACGTCCACAATGACATCTTCCGTTACGAGGATGAGGTCTTTGGAGACTCTGAAGCGGAGCTTGATGAAGGTAAGATGTTCACAATTATCCCAAACACACCAGGTTTTTTTAAATTAAAAAAAAGAATGTTTTCATGGTTTCTCATGAGCAACTAAAGCAAATCATTTGAAAATTGTTTTGGTTTCTCTCACTTAGAATCAGAGGAGGAAGTTGAAGAGGAGCCGGAGGAGAGGCAGCCGTCCCCTGAGCCACTTCAAGAAAGCCCCAACAGCACCACCTACTACGAGCCTCACCCTGTCACGTACGTCAGGGCTTCAACTATCTCATAATATATATTAGGATGTTTTACCCTTAAAATATACATAAAGCATTTCGCTTTTTATACTTATTTTACCTGTTGAAGTGACTTCATGTTGATTTGTGCTCTGTAGTAATGGAGTAGAGGAGCCCATGGAGGAGCCGGCTCCAGAGCCCGAACCAGAGCCCGAACCGGAGCCCAAGGTAGAAGAAGTCAAGCCTGAAGTCGATGAGAAGGTTTTGGAAGAGATGGAGGAGAAAGCTCCGTCACCGGCCCCTGTGGAGTCTCCACCAAACACACAGGAGCCTCCCAAGGTGAGCCTGATGTGTGGATAGAGCAACACCTGTTTCTTTCTCTCACACAAACACATTCACTTCCTGCCCTTGAAAATAAAGTATTAAGAACAAATTTGACCTTTTTATGAAAGTAACACCAGCGAGACAGTATATCCAACAACTAACTGACCACTAGGGATGGGTATCGTTAAGGTTTTAACGGTACTACTACTTTTATCGATACCGCTCTTCGATCCGGTCTTTTAACGGTACTTATAAGGTAAACTAACTAAACAAATTGTGAACAAAATTAACATTGCTTTTTATTTAAATTAATAATATTTCACATCAAAAGAAACAATGTTTCACCAAATCGTATTAAATAATCTGATGACAGAATTGTAGGCTACCGATAACGTCAGAGCTTAACGGTACCACGGTCTTTAATAATTCAGCCCCGGGGCCCGTTTAATACCGTGGCTCGGTACCCATCCCTACTGACCACAATGTCAGCCCTGCTGATATCTTAAACCACCAAACAAATGTTGCTGTAGCTTATCTCCCAATCCAACAGAGATTTCAATGAAGACATTAACATACCCACCAAAGTTTAAAGTAAGGTGTTAATTGTTAACAATGCATTACTGCTTTTTTCACAGGCTTTCTCATGGGCCTCTGTGACCAGTAAAAACCTGCCACCCAGCGGCACTCTAACGTCCTCTGGAATGTCCCCCCATCTTGTCAAAGGTCCAGGCTCACAGGTAAACATCTATCATGAATTTGACTAATAAAGTGAACTATCAGAGATTGATGTGAAGCAGACGGGGTGTCCGCGGGGTCTTAAAAAGTATTAAAAGTTGATAAATAAATGTAGCGACAATTAAGGCTATTAAAAAGTATTTAACGGCATTTTCCAACGTATTACATTTTGTGGTTTGTTTTCAATAAGTATATAAATTGTCCAAAGAGGTTGTATTCTACAGTCTGCCTGAATGTAATCATTGCGTAGGTGTGTAGTGTGATTCTGTGTAGTTTATTTATGGCATCCCGTTGGATTTGACGTCATCTGAACAGGACATCGCACGCTCACTGCTTGCTAGCGTGCGAAGGTCCGTTTACGCCGGTTGTTAAAAGATGAGGAGGAAGGACAATCAATAATGTATATAGTAAATGTTGCGCCAATGTAACCGGTTAAAACTCAAAGTGGCGATGAGGTCTTAAAATGTATGGAAAGGGTCTTAAAAAAGGTCTTAAAAGGTATTCAATTTGACTTCAGGTTTCCTGCATGTACCCTGAGCAGAGCAATATTTCACAACTATACAAGTCTACCACAACGGGTATTTCAATCATACATTTAATGGATGACTACATGGTGGCTATAAGCAGCATAGGGTGCATTTTGTGCAATCATTTTCCGAGTGGTGTGGAGTTTAGGAACATTGGGGTTTGCATTACATAAAGGAACTCACTGTACAAAGGAACCACTTCTCGCCTGTATATTTGAGACCATTATGCAATACAAAAGATTGATTTCACAACCAAATTGGGTGGATAAAAACGTCCTCAGCGAAGAGTTATATTCCTAACTATAATTACTCAAAGCATGTACAAAAGCAGCAAAGTGACTTAAGACTAGAACACATAATCAGCTGAGGCAAGTGGACCCAATCTGTTTCTTTGAAGCAATTATGAAAGGGATTTCTGGTTGATTTATTAATTTTTTGTGTGACACCCCTCCCCCTACAGGCCAGAGTTGATGCAAAGACGGAGACGCAGACGGCACCCATCCGACCGAGAGACCAGCGCACACGTGACAGACCGGCGTTCCCCCCGCGGGGTTCCAGGCCTGGTAATGCCAACACCTGTCCTGCAGAATAAGGCCTTCATCACGTCTTCTTTTTCAAGTGGTTCATTTGGTTTGTTCTCACACACGTCTCTCTCACTGTTAGATGGTGTTGCACCTTCGGAGTCACAAACGGGGAAACCACCCTTGAGTTTTGTTAACAAAGGTAAACCCTTTGAGTCACGTCTTCTAAAACCCTGTTTCTTGATTTGTCTTTGGGACTTTATTCAGTCAGTGTTATCTTCCACCTGGTGTGGGTTTCACTTTGCTGATAATGTGATTGACTTTCTTACATGTAGATGCAGATGATTCATGTTAGCTAATGTGTTTGTTTTGACCTGCAGGTAGCCGGGGCGACTCTGACTCTGGCGACATGGACAACAGGCGAATTGTCCGTTACCCTGACAGTCACCAGCTCTTTGTTGGCAACCTCCCACATGACATCGATGAGAGCGAGCTCAAAGACTTCTTCATGAGTATGTTTACTACACTACTACTGTCTCGGGCTCCAAAATGAATCAAAACCTCAATATGAATTATTGACTTTCTACAAGCTGTAGTCTACGGACTTAAGGCGAGACACGGCAAAAACATCGTTTTTCATGCACTGGTCAATTTTGAGATTTTGTGCTATTTTGATTCCATAACATGTTTTCTTTCAGGCTTTTGGAAGGAAAACGTACAAAATACACATTTAGGTGTTTATTTGACTATAGTTTGTCTATTTGCGTCTGTAGATTTCTCCTAAATTCACCAAAAGTTAGCATTCTAACGTAACATAAAGTACCGCGACCGCTGTTTGCACCATGTCAACAGAGATATCGTTGGCAAGCTGAGTCTCTCCTGCACAATCTCACCGGATCCAAATATGGTCATTTCCTTTCTATCAGTAACCAATCGTGAAAGTACAAAAGGGACTTAAACCAAGAAACGACATCTCATTAGCTGGTGTCAATTTCTGACAACGTGATTCGTTCAGATGCGTCACATGGTGTGCTAAAACACTTCCTGGTTAGCTTCCTGCTGGAAATTTAAATCTGAAAATTACAAAAGAACAGACGACAACAATTGTCACTTGCACGAAGCAAGGTAATACAAAAAAGAAATGACCCCGAACATGAAATACCTTCTCGGAGTGCGTCGAGGCGCAAGCTGTCATCCAAAGAACAGGAGGGTTTAGGTAGCGCCTCACTGCAATCTTTAAAGGTAGTTTTCTCAATAGCAGTTTTTTTCTCCTACTCTGAGTCAGAAATGTCCACTTCAGTAGCACTTGCATACACCAAACCTTCCAGTTATATTCCTATCAATATTATGAAGGCTTTTACAGAAGGGTTTGTTCAAATATCATTCAAAGCCTGAATTATATAACATTTTATACCTAAAAACATGGCAAATTGATATTTTAGAGCTGTTGACAGTATTTTCTGATTTATGGAGTGATTATAAGAGAAAATCCCTTCTGTAAAAGCCTTAGATTCTAATATGACTACAAAATGAAATAATAATTTTGAACCTGGCTTTATCCAATGTTCAGATTTGTGTTCCTGAAATGTGTTAAAATATGCGCATATTTAATGTGATTATGGCTCATTTGCACATTTAAACATGCTATTTCAGAAAACTTGTAATACAAAAAACAATTGTCCTAATAGAAGTAATTAACTGGAGACATTTCTAGCGGTACATCTCTAAGTAAAAAAGAATTACCCTATTCACCTGTAGTGTCTCGCCTTAACAAACATTTCTTTGGTACAGAGCTTCTCACACATGACCATTTTAATATATATTTGAATGAGAATATTGATGCAGTAATGACGAGTCCCTAAATTGTAATCACAATCTCATAAAAAAAGTATTACAATTATTTTATTTTTCCCAAATGCTGCTGTTTGTCAAAATGTCATGACATGAAAAACAAATCTTTACAATTGTAAATAAACTCCCTTTTTTTTGTCTTTTTCTTGCAGCATACGGAAACGTCGTGGAGCTGCGGATAAACACCAAGGGCGTTGGTGGGAAACTTCCCAACTTTGGATTTGTGGTCTTTGACGACTCTGATCCCGTGCAAAGAATCCTGGGGGCCAAGGTAGAAGGGGCATGTATCACAATTTCATTACCTACTTTCATTCATCTGGTGGTGGTTTGGTGACACACAACTAATCTATAATGGCACATGGTGTGGGATAAACACACAGGAAACACCTTGATTTTTTAAAATGATAAATCTTGTTTGTTATTGCTGTCACAAATCAAGCTGGTGAACAAATGTATGAGGCTGTGTTCAGAACAATTGTAGCATTGGGTTAAAGAAAGAAATGGGCAGCTGGGTCGAGGTGGTGCACCTGAGATCAAATATAAATCAAGAAGTGAAGTCTGCAATCGCTAAGACAGTTTGATTCTTCTTTTCTATCACTGTGGCAGCATTGCTAGAAACTCACTGGTCTCATTTACTGTTTCATCTTTGTACACAGAACATCCTAGACCAGGGCTATTCAATTGGCGGCCCGCGGGCCAAATCCGGCCCCGGGGTGATATTTACTGGCCCTTTGAGTATAATGTTAAAAAGTAATCAACTTTAAAAAAAAAAAAAAAAAAAATGTAAGTTTTTGGGCCAGAGTGCCTTTTATTCCAGAGAGGGCCTTAAATTGAGAGATAGAGGGGAAGACATTGGCTGAAAACTTTGGCGGGCTCGGGTTTCGAACCCACCTACTAGCTACTGTAGATAATTTCACCTAAATTAAATGAAATGATGTTGATGGTTAAATTAGCTTCACATGGAGGCCTACTGAGTTCTGAACTTGCCATTTAGATCTATAGGCCTTGGGGCTATGTTGTTTGATTTAATTAAACACAATATATGCACTCCACTACGCTCTTGTAGTATTTACTGTATCTGAAGCTCTTAATATGATTGCTCATATTTCAAGCCATCTTTTTCCCGGCCCCTTGCTTTGGATCATTTTCATCAACCGGCCCCAATTCCAAACTAATTGAATAGCCCTGTCCTAGACCAAACAGCAGCTGTCAAAACTATAAAAACGCCGATATCCAAGGCAACTTCCTACAAATAAGAGGTAAACGGAAGAAAGACATGAACAATTGAACATCTTAAATATGTTTCTCATGTTTTTGTCGCAATTTTTGGGAAGTTTCTGTGTTGGCACCTCAACTGCAAACTCCATTGTGGCTTAATGTAAATGAATGATGGGACTACATATTTTTTTTTTTTAACTGGTGCATTCTAAATCTTGTCTGAACACAGCCTTAAATATGAAATGATTTCACTGGCAGGGACACAGAACTTGTCAGGTCAACCCAGTGCTTACATGGGGTCCGGGACAGATGGACAAAGTTGTGTGTGCAAACCAGTGAATGACGTGGATTCTGAAATTGATTGGGGGAAATATTCAGTCTTTTTTTTTTTCGTTCATACTGACCGTGCTTATCTCCCTGCAGCCGATAATGTTCCGCGGTGAAGTGCGTCTGAATGTGGAGGAGAAAAAGACGAGGGCGGTGCGTGAAAGAGAAACTCGTGGAGGAGACGATCGTCGGGACATGAGGCGCAGCGACCGGGGCTCCGGAGGGTCAAGAGGCATCGTGGGGAGTGGGATGATGCGCGACGGGAGGGGACCCCCACCCCGAGGCGGCATGGCCCCCAAACCTGGCATGGGCTCCGGAAGAGGCTCCGGGGGCCAGGGCGAGGGCCGCTTCACCACCCAGCGCCGCTGAGACGAGCACCACCCCGCAGTGTGGAAGTAGTACCGCGTTCTTCATCTTCAACCGTTCTCTCGTTAAAGAAAAAGAAATCTTCATGTATAAACGTATATATTTGGTTTTTTGTTTTATTTTTTTATTTTTTTGTTCCCTCTTTTGCTTTGGAATGTGACACAGCCTGTCAACTTTTTTCTTTTGTGAAATAGACAGCACAAAAATAAGCAAACAAATCTTTTTCGCTTATTAGTTGTGAGCTGAGCGTCCTTTTCGGGTATCTCAAGAATTCACAAACTTTAATTTGTAAATTTGTGAAAGAAAAGACGAACCAACCAGGAGCAAGCAATCTGCCACATTAGGAGGGACTGATGAGACTTTTAACTACGATAATACAGCCCATCATTTGGAAAAGAGATTATATGCCTTGACTTAACTGAGGCGCTGCTTCATGAAATCCCTCTATTGCACATTTTATACGGTAGTTTTCTGCCCGTTACTGTTGGAAAAGAGTGAGATGCAAAATGTGTGCAGTTCCAGTGGAAAAGTTTGCCTTTTACTTTTTCCTTTTGAGAGACCACTGCTTACAAATTGCATAATGCACTCATCAATATGCACTAATGGGTACTTTTGTCGTATTACATAGACATCCAAGCTCGGAACGCAGCTGGAGAGACCTGTTTTGTCTCAAAGCGACACGACTTTCCGGGGCAGGCCTCGCTCACAGCCTGTCCGCTGTGACCAATGAACCTTTCACACTTTTGACCCAAAACTACACTTCAATTACTGCTGGATGGACAAGATGACAAAGCAAATCTACATTATATTTTTCCTCATTTATAAATCGAATGAAAATAATAAAAAAAAAAAAGCTTAAATCCTGGACTTTCACCAAATAACTCGGGGGAGGGGGGGACAAGAAACGAAGAACAATAGAAGAGTGGTTGTGATGATGGCGGCTCGCTCTGTTTTTTTTACTTTGATTCCAAGTTTGTTTTTTCTTCATGTTTTTCCCTGCCAGCTACACCACGAAACTAGACGGATGCCACCTTCCCTGCCTAAGTGCGGAGTAACAGAATAAATGTACAGCTAAAATCATAGTTTACTGTATGTTTTGTGTTCTGTATATATTTCTAATTTCTCTCACAACTTGGTAAAAGCATGAATGGTGCCTTCTATTTCACCTTTTCCAGTCTTACTATAGCGGTTCGAGGCGTTCTGCTTCCTGTTATGGAGCCGCTCATTTTGAACTATATTTCTTTTTGGGAGCGGATGGGAAAACATTGCAGTATTCATTCACAGGTTTTTGAGTTTTGTTTTTTTCTGGTGCATATTTTATTTTTCCATACTGTTTTACTACCTAAGATAATCTGCTGTGAGTTTTTTGTACATTTGTTTGTATTGTGTCTGTTCTGGGGTTTGTAGAGGACATTAGGTGCATCCAGTTCTGTTAGATGTTAATAGATGCATCTGAAGAACAACCCCCCCCACCCCGGTTAAGGTACATTAAAGATGGTGACAGTAAAATGTTTGTTCTCGGTTTAAGAAATCATAGCTCTACACATCCCTAGGGTCTGCAGTTTGGAAATAATTTATCTAATTCAGATGATGTTACTGCTACGTTGCTCAGCAACCATTTTGCAATGCTCCGTGCAGGTGGACTGGCCGTAACCCGCCTACAGACTAGCAAATAATGCTCACTTTTCTAGCTATTAGTGCATTTGTATTTTCATATCCTGTTCTTCTTATTATTCATTTATTTCTTCCATTCAAGGCAATGATCTAAACGCCACCTTTGTCTTCCCCCTCTTGCCCTCTAGTGTATTTCCTTTGTACCACTTGGTAGGGAGGGAACACCTTTTGGTTTCAGCTGGACAGGAAAACATGACACACTTTATCATTTTTTGTTATCTTGCACTGAATTGGGAAGTGATCGATGTAGCATTTTTCTGGACAAATATACGAATGAGGTCTTCCTTGTCTGCTGGTATTGCACTATTTACAACATTTCTGGGACAATCTCTCATTTTGAATTCAGTCTCTCCAAATTTCTCATCTGGCAGTAGAAAAAACATGATTACGTGACATGAAATATCTGCTCTCAGTTGAAACTACATGGCATATTTTATGTAATTTGCCACAGTAATACTCGGCTAATCTCCCTTTGTAGTTGAAATCAAATATTTTCAGATGTGAGATTAGTTTAATAGAGATTTCTTACCATCAGTCTTTGACCTATTACAGAAAAACCTTGCTCTTTGATCCTTGAGTGTTTCTCATGGGTGCCTCTGCCCCGAATGTTTATTTGTCAGGTAATCGCTTAACTCGAGCACTTCACTGCAATCCTACTTTTTACAGCAATGGTCAATGAAGAGGGTGACGAAGAAGAGCCATCATGCTTTCACACCAATTTGTGCTTTTTACATCAAAGTGGTGGTTAAATATCTGAGGATAGATCTTCTTTTTCACTGAGGTTTTCAACAAACTACCCTTTTCCAATCTTTTAAAGGATCCTCAAAAGCGAAAAAGGCTGTAAATTAATTTTCCTGTGGTTGAAAATGCAGTATGGATCCTCATTGTGAATCATTCCAGTCCTTTTTTTGAATGGAAATAGAAGTACCTTCTTGGCTTTAGCAGGTGTGGTAAACAAGTGGCTGCCATCTTCATTTGTACTGTGTTTACCCTTTACTTGTTGCTAGTACAAAAGTGTTGCAGGTGGAGAATCTTTTTCCTGGTTTTGTTCTTTTTTTTTCTTTCAATTTTGAATGTGTTGGACTTAACATACAATAAACTACTGATATCAGCCCCACTCACAACGTTTGTCATGTGTACAGGTTCCTGCATCGGAGATAATTGAGAGAACACGCTGCTGCTTTTGTTAATAAGCTTCACAAAACTGATCATATTATGAAGTATGAAGCAGCTCCTTCCTTTAGTGCAGAAAAACGTACAAGATAATCAGCTTTTATCTTCAATACTTTGAAACAGTTGGGGCAAGGTTTGGGTGTGACCTGATTGTTATTTTGAAAGTAATACACTTAGTATTTCTAATTAAAGGAACACCCTACAGTCTTTACACTCTGCCCCTTGTATTAAGTGTTTTGGGGCTTTTGAAAAGCTTTCTCAGGACTAGATAAAATCTTGGTTTGGAGTTTGGAGACCACATTTAAAGCTCAAGTTCTGTCTTACAAACATGGTGTAGAGTTTAAAATATGTTGTCGGATTTGTAGTTTAGATGCTTTTCAGGCTTGACTTATACTAAGGAATAAAAGTTGCAATGTATTGGTTTCTTTTTGTATGTCACTACCAAGTCACCTGGTGTAGTGGAAATGCGTTATTAAATTATAATGGAGTGTCCTTTTGCTTTTCTGTCTCATCCCTTATTGTAATGTTCCTTTTTGATCCGTGTTTATTATAGACCTTGACTCCCAGAAACATCCAGAAAACATTAAGTGAGCCCAGGGTCTTTACTGGAACTGACACCGCCACACCTTTTGGCCATTAGTGATGACCGAGAGGATATCATTTTGTTTGCTCTCAGGAAAATCCTACTCATATTTCATTTGTGAGTCTCTGTTGTTCTCTTTTGCTACATCCACGCCAATGGTGTAATAAACTAATCTACAGGTGGTGGTATGTCACGATGTGCAGTAATGTGCCAACAAAGGCAACACGAAGAAGACAACCAAGAACATGGAAGCAAACTTTTATCAATTATTTTTATTAAATGTATTCAAAATCAGCTTGTTTTTATGAATAAGGAAATGCATTTAAGATGCAATTTTAGACACAATCCCTTTTGGGTAAGTAACACTAAATATAGAACAGAAACAGGAAACCTCCACATTGCTCCCTTAAGATAAAAACAAACAACTGCATGCATTTGTGTAAATAAAGTTATTCATTTACAATTGGTATATTCAAAGGATTGAAGCTGTCTCATCCAGCAGCACCCGCTCAGTCTCCGTCACTTTTGGATGAAGATTCACTGGATGAAGAATGAAACTTCTGAGCCTGGATGGGACGTCTCTGATCTCCTTTTGGATTGCTCTGAGGGACCACTGGGGGGAGTTGATATTGAGAAACCGGGAGGAAGCTGAGTGTGGAAGAAGCTGACCTCCTGCTTGAATATACCTGGGGTCAGTTGCACGTTGACCATAAGCATAAGACCCTCCTCTGCCTGGATACTGGAGGACGTAGTAAGGCATCATGTGCTGCTGGTAGAAGGCATTAGCTGAAGGAGGACGGGGGTCTTGTTCTAGTACCTTGACATAGTTTGGAGGTGGAGGTGCTGGGTTCAAAGACTCCCCAAGGAACCGCCATGGTGGGTCCTCATTTCTTTGCAGAGTAGCCAAAACATCTTTCACAAAGGAAAATATGATCATTAGGAATCAAGTCAATCACATTCACTACAGGATCTGAAATCAAAGCGCTGAGAACTGAATTAATGTCATACCTTGTTGATGGTCATTTGGTGTAGCTCCTTGGCGATAGTTGTCAAGTCTATCTAAACAGGGACTTGAGGAAAAGATTTCAAAAGAAAATGTCACTATTTCATAATATTGCTAAATTAAGGGATACTGCCAGGATTTTAGCAACACTGATCTCATGAGTCTAAAAAATATATATCAATCAAATTGATTTTGATGAACTCAACAATGTATTTACTTGGTTAACTGTTAATACAATAAAACATACATTTCATGCAGGCTGTTTAAAAAAGATTAAAGCTAGAACTAACTGTACAAATGCAAAATATATTTTGGAGTCTAACACAAATGTATAATGTGTACTCCAAACCCAAATACAAAAAAGTACAGAAAAATCACCTAAAAAGGATTAAATCAATCAAATTCACGTAAGGATCTGAAATTAAAGTGCTAAGAATTTACTTAATGTCATACCTTGCTGGTCATTTTGTGCTCCTTGTCGATAGTTGGCACATTTATTCCGAACAGCGACAGATCCTTGAAGAAAGATTTCAAAATAAGATTTCACTATTTCATAATATTATGAAATAAAAGTCCATTGCCAGGATTTTAACAGCACTAATGTCATGAGTCTAATACATTTTTTTAATAATAAATATATTTTGCCTAAAAATGCTGGAGTCTGCATTCACAGATGTACTGCTACTACTACTACTACTACTACTACTACTACTACTACTACTACTACTACTACTAATATGTACTACCACTATTACTCCACAACCAAATACAAAAAAATACAGAAAAAATCACCAGATACGAGTAGTCTAGTCAATCAAATCCCAAATTCACAAATTTGCCTTGAATATGTTTACTATCTGTTTCATAAATCTTCTATCCAAGGAAACGTCCTCAGGGTTACAGCCCAAACGTATATGTCATGTAAGTTTGAATTAAATAATTATGTCTTAATAAATCCTACCTGTGTCGTGTATCAGGGAGCACAGAAGAAGAGTCAGGGCTGCTGTTATGGAAAGTTATTTCCTGCTGAACCTCTGAGAAGCCTTTTTATAGATAGGGGTGAGACATTATTTGTTTTTGTAATGCATTAGTTTTATGACTGAGGTATTGTGTCACACTCTGTTATACTGTAATTATCATGTATGCAATCATACTGGATTGAATCATTTTATCAACAGAGTCTTAATTACTTTAATTACCGAGTAAATGTGAATCATAGTGTCTTTATTATTATTATTACAAGTGTTGAGAAACAATGTTAACTGAGAAACTGTCTAATCTCAGCTTTGGCATTGAAAGTGAATACAAACACTAGGAACGAGCTCAAAAGCACAGTGAATAACTATTGTATTTATAATTTTGTCAAATGAATTTGCCCTTTCTGTTTCAGGGTTAAAACTTAGACTTTAAACATAAGTATGTATTGATAACTACAATAAGCAGTATTTATTCCACTGTACACTATTTAAATGTACAATCTGTTGTATATAGACTCCTGCATTTACTTGGTCACTCACAACCTTCTCTGCAACATTTAGCTTATTGTATTTTATGTATATAGTTCACTTCTCCTGCATACAGGGGTGAATCCGAAAATTATACTTTTATACTGACATTTCTTTCTTTATTCATTATTTGTATTTAGTCTTTTACCAGTTATAATGACATATTTAATTCTCCATACACTCAATGTTTGTTATCTTGCCCTTTAAATAGGTGAACTCTGCTGATCAGCCACGTATCGCCACGTATTTGCGCATGCGCAGTGCCTCACACTTGTGTTCCGGGGTCGATCTGAACACTGTAGAAAATCATCATTGTGTACCTTTTTCATTTTCTATTCACGTCGTTTTTACACGGACAACTGAAGGGGGAGTCTGGGGGATTTATCGGAAGGAGAGACGCTTTGAATACGGCACCGAGAGATGAACTTCTTCAGAGGAGTGATGGGGGGACAGGCCGCCGGGCCGCAGCCCTCCGGAGCCGAGACGGTAGGAAACACCCTGGATAACCGGAGCTAACTGAGGCTAACTGGAGCTAACTGAGGCTAGCTAACATTACCACCACAGGGTTCCAGACGCACTGACTCCACACACGTCAGCATTTAAACTCATGTTTATACACGCAGGGTGCATTTATATACCTACATATAACACCAATAATTACATGTTAAGAGACGGAGGCCTTCCTAAATCAGAACAACGAGCTAGTTATAAAGCTAATAAGCTAACGTAGCATACCTGTCAGTTAGCAGCAGGCTGTCTGACATATCTTCTGTTTTCTCTACGTGTAGCTATAATGAATGGACAATAATGACTATAAGGAGTATCGGCTGTTAACTATATCTTTATCTTCAAATTGCATCCAAGAATACACGAGCTAACTATGTTAACATCCAATTTAAATGATATTGTAATCATCTCTAGGTTCCCAGTGTCCTGTTCTTGATATAAACCAACATTTGTAGTGATTGGTAAGGGCTTTTTTTGCACTTCAAATTGCAAACGAATGAAGGAATATGGGATTTTAAAATACTTTTCAATCATCACAACCTGTTCAGCCACCTAGTAGATATCAATGTCTACAAAAAAAAAGATACAGATCATGCCAAATTTGAGGGCGTAGGTTTCAATTAGCATGTCATCATCAGGCTGTATCTGTTGGTGGATGCTTTTAACATTTGACTTAGATACATTGATGAGATCCTAAAACCCTTTGAAAGATCCCGCTAATGTGTCTTTTTTAAATTAGATTAAGCTTGGGAATTCATCACCCTGGGAACATATGGGATGCAAGGCATTTAGTACCACTGTCCCTCTTGCTATGCTCTTCATATATCTCTGCAATGAATTTAGCTTTCACTATCAATCGATCTGATTACAAACTTCTCACATAATTGGTAAGCCTATAAAAAGGTGGCCTATCATCACCATCCAAGGTCCAAGGTGACTCCTCAAGGTGCTTGTGTTGTTCAGCATCTTAGGATAATCTATTTCCAATGCCTTAAAAATAAATTATGGAGTATTGCAGCCGTTTTACAATTAAGTAATTCTGTAGACTAATGTTTTCCAACTGGCTTGTCTCCTAAAACCCTAACAGTATGGCATTTGTTATCGGTTGAAAATGTATGGTAGTTGGGACCATGTAAAATAAATAACACATTTCCTTATCCAATCATTTACAAATATTAGAGGAATGCATTTATTTTCATTTTATGACTCCTGAGAACAAAAATCAACCACATTTTTCATGATGCCTTGTAAGACATGCTTCTGAAGTAAGGGAAAACATCATGTCCGCTGATGTGCAAAATACAACCCATCATCCCTATTTTAAGTCACATAAAAATATCTTTTAGGCCGTATATGAGGCCTGCAAAAATAATCAAGGATTTCTTTCTCTACAGATCCAGAAGTTGTGTGACCGGGTAGCCTCCTCGACGCTACTAGAAGACCGCAGAGATGCTGTCCGGGCCCTCAAGTCCCTCTCTAAGGTACAACCAGACACAGTTAATCTACTACATTGTGCACAGTGTAATTCAGTCCAATGCAATACATTTTACATTTATGGAGGTAGAAGCTGAATTGTGTTGGGTTTTACTGAGAGTGTTTTACATTCTTTGTCTTTCAGGCCATGAAATAATTTCGGAGAACAATATACAAGAAACATCTCTGTATTAAACAAATTCATTTAAAACACACCATTGTTACCTTCTAAAAGATTGGCTTTATTGCAGTGCTGTAATATTTGAATGCATCATTTTTCATCTGGATTATACTGGCTGAGAATATGATAGGCTTTCGGTTAAGCCACATTACAGTATGGACGCTTCTCACAAGGTGTTTGGCATACTTACTTTTTTTTAAATTGCAGCAGTAGCTGTCATGAAAGGAGAAAATGACATGTAAATGAATTATGATATTTGTAAATATATTCTCTTCTGTCATGGATGATTTGTCAAACTCTGCTGAATCCTCTCAAAGCTGCCTCTCAGTTCTGTTCATGGACAGTTGCGTTACCGTGTGCCACATCAACCATGAGTAATGTGTTTTTCAGGCATGAATAAGGGGTTTAGGAGGCACAGGGTTTCACATTATCGCTCAGTGGTATCAGTGCTGATCAAAAACACAGACATAGATGTGTTGACTTCCTGTATTTTATAAGAAATACGGTACAAAGTTCATGATTTAGTATTATTCAAATATTACTGGTAATTCGAAAGCACTAAGATTTAGTTTGAGTCCAAAAACATTTCTTATCTGCTACTACTGCAAGTGACCTCCCATGAAACAGTTGTTTTTAATAACCTTTTCGGTTTGTACAGTGAGCTTTCGTCCTATTTCGTTCTCTCAAATGTGTATTTAATCTGTCTTTTATTTAATATTTGATATATAACTTTTACTTGCCTTGTTGTTGTAAATCACCTTAAAAAAATCGCCTTGCCTTCCATTTGATCCTTTCTAGAAATATCGCATGGAAGTTGGCACACAGGCGATGGAACACTTGATTAACATTCTGCAAACTGACCGGTATGACGCAAATATTTCAATTTTTCTACAGGCACCTTGTTCTGATAAGAGTTAATAATGCGACTTGTGTTTGGTTTATTCTCTGATCTTTCCTGTAAATGAAACAGGTCTGACTCTGAAATCCTTGGCTATGCTTTGGACACACTCTACAACCTCATCTGCAATGATGAGGAGGAAGAGCAAGGTATTTAACCCTTCCTCACTTATCACCATTGAAGATAATTCTTCCTAATTGTGTGACGACAGTAACCGGTGACGGAGCCATTATTTTTTGCATGTGTAAATAAGTCGAGTTCATTTCAACTGGACACAAGTTAATTTGCATTCCCCTCCTCTGTTCACTCATGATGAATGCTTTGTGTAAAGATTCTCTCTTTTCTCTTCCATGTTTAAACCTACAGATGAATCAGAAGGTAAACATCTTTTAAACTGTGCATGACGCCACCCCCCCCCTCCCCTAACCACCAGCAGCACTTCAATCATCCATTGTTTTTGGGGTTGGGAAAAGAGCACGTATTGTTTACACCTGCTGCTGTACACAGTTTTATTAGCGGATGAAATTCAAGGCTGTATTTCTGATTGTTGTCTTGCCATATCTTCAAAAGAATCAGTCAGCTGGTTCTTCAGGTTGGTTGAAATAAATGCTGGCTTTTGGGTGAGGCTTTAAACTTCCTCTTCCCCCCTCGCACTCTCAGACGCAGTAACCCCTATCCCTGCCTCAGGGAAGCATAAGAATGTTTCCATGCCTGGTCAGTACTGAAAACAAGCTTTTGCAAATGTAGTAATTAAGCTGCTATCTAACTAACTGCACTAAAATGGGTTGAAACTTGAAAAGTGAGTGGAAGGTGTTTTGGGTGGTAACATGAGTGCTTCACTAATCACTTCCCCACACCTCTTGTCTGTATACGTGTCATATCTTGTTGCCCCCTTGTTTCTAGAGCTGTACCAAGAAGTCTAACGCTGTGTCACAATGTTGATTCAAATACAAATGTAACATTCAATGCTGCGTAGCTTTTATTCAAATTGTTTATCCATACCTATTAAATATGTTCTGCGCAGTGCATAAAGGATAGTCTACGCTACTATTATTAGCATTATACTATATGTCAAATGTGACTTGTGTAATCCATTCATCTTTCCATAATGCTTGAAGCCACGAAGTGTATTAACGGGGCAGTCTAGCAGCACTCGTCTCTGAATACATTTGTATCTCCAGGAAAAGGAAGAATGTACATCTACTGAAAACAGCCCTTTATTTGATCCATTGGAAATATAAACATATTGATTACTGCAACTTCTAATATACATTTTAAATGTCACAACATTGTTTTTGGATGGAAGCAGAAATCTTAGAGAAAGAACAAGGTATGTCCAGATTACTAGGTGGGTATGTAATTAATCTGAGTGCAGTGGGGTTTCTCACCATGTTGTTACACTAAAAAAAAACTCTCCCACGTTAAATGTTAAATTCCCGTGTGTACATAGTAACCCTACTGAGCCCCCCCTGTTCACCCTCCCACCCAGCTGTCCCTCATCCCCCATTTTTGTTTCCCTAAAGGCGTGTTCACAACTATCACCCTGAGCATTTGCACATTTCTCAAATGGCTTTACATAATCCTTGTAAAGTCACAATTCATTAGCAGAAAACCACCAAGTCATTTTGAGAAGATCTGATGAAGCTTTCTAACTCGGGCTCATGGTTATGAACAAACCAGCTGGTCCCCTCACTGCACTGCTGCTGTAGTGCTTATTGCAGCAAATGTTATATTTCATTCTCCTTCACAGATGAGGCCATGCAGAAGCAGTCTGATGACCTCGGAGCTCAGTTCACCGAGCAGTTCATTCAGGACCCCGAACACATCACTCTGATTCTCAGTCTGCTGGAGGTACTGAGAGAGTCTTTTGGTTTTTTATTTGTTATAAGTATTATATTCTTACATTTATGCATTGATGTGTTTTATTTCTTAGGAGTTTGACTTTCACGTACGTTGGCCCGGGGTGAAGCTGTTGACCGCTCTCCTGAAGAACCAGGGGGTCCAGGTCCAGGGGATTATTCTGGTCAGCCCCATGGGTGAGTGTCTCCTCTGCACATGTCACCTGTTTAGAGTTATCAGGGGTTTACTCACCCTCCGTTTTATATCAACACATCGCTATCCTTTTACTGAGAGCACCTGTTCTCTCTGGAACAGTTGGCAACTCACAACAAGAGATAGTCAGATTGTCAGACAGTATTTTTTTAAATTGCTAAATGTTTTGTGTTTTAGATCAACCAGTATTTCATCAAACCTTTTGATTCATTCATTCGCAGGTGTTTCCAGATTGATGGACTTATTGGCAGACTCTAGAGAAGTGATCCGTAATGATGTAAGTATTTCAGTTTAAGCTGACATTTTGTTATAAAACGTTTATGGAAACCTGTGAAACTGCTGCCATGTTTAGACTTAGTTTAGCTCTGTGTGCAAGAACGCAGCCATCTCATTCGGACTTTGAAGCCTATCAAAATACCAAAGTATATAATAAATGACTATACAAATAATTAAAGGTGGGGTAGGTCATTCTGGAGAAACCAGCTGGAGTGCGCTAGAATTTGAAAATACACAGCCGGGAAAAATCTGCCACTTCCTTACAGAGCCCCTCCTCCAACACACACGAGCGCGCACATGACCAATGAGGGCACGAGATAAGTTTGTGCACAGATGGAAGGCTGACAGGCAGGTAGGCCATCCAGTTATTTTAGCCGGGCCGGCTCAGATGATTGGTCGTGCTTTTTACAGCGCCACGGCTTCCACAGATGACATTTCTTTACGGATTTTTTGTCAAAGCACTTCAGATATTCATTGCTATCGGGATGTTAAGAGCATTCCATGGAATATAACAAAAAGTGTATCTCGAGCCGGTTTCTCAAACTTACCTACCCCACCTTTAATTTCTTCATGTGTAATACAAATTACAATGCAAACCAGCAAAACACTTCCTTGACCACTTGCATCCATGCATTGTAACACAAATGTGCATTTCTATGATGATAAACTCAGGTTTTAAACTGTACATCCTGATATTTCCTGAACCTTATACAGTGTGTCTGAACTCTAACTGTGTAATTCAAAACTATTTTTACAACTTGTATTTTCCAACAGGGCCTGCTGTTGCTTCAACAGCTGACCAAAAGCAATGCTGCGATTCAGAAAATCGTGGCATTTGAAAGCGCATTTGAGCGTCTTCTAGACATCATCACAGAAGAGGGCAGCAGCGATGGAGGTAAAAGGATTTTGAAATATGACAATCCAGTTTCTTGACATGAAACCGTATGAATATTGTTTTTCTTGTGAGTTATGTTCTGATGCACATCCTTCTCTGCCTGCAGGTATCGTGGTGGAGGACTGCTTGCTGCTGCTGCTCAACCTGCTGAAGAACAACAGCTCCAACCAGAACTTCTTCAAGGAGGGCTCGTACATCCAGAGGATGAAGCCCTGGTTCGAGGTCGGGGATGATAACTCTGGCTGGTCTGCACAGAAGGTCACCAACCTCCACCTCATGCTGCAGGTAACGCAGAGCATTCAGGCTGACGTGTTTCTTCAACCATTTCACAAAGGAAGCGAGCAGAACAATGGCCTTTTGTTTGCTATAACACAATGTTCTGTTCCCAGTTGGTGCGAGTCATGGTGTCTCCGGTGAACTCCCCTGGAGCCTCAGCCAGCTGTCAGAAGTCCATGTACCAGTGCGGCCTGCTGCAGCAGCTGTGCACCATCCTCATGGCCACGGGGGTGCCTGCCGACATCCTCACTGAGGTAAGGACAGAAAGCAATACCCAGTACACCCAGAAGAAACAGTTGTTTACTCGGAAGGATTGGCCCCTTCTGAGAAATACAACATTCCTTTTTTTGCTTATATTTATACATTAATAAATAAAGGAAATGCATAAATAAAGCTTCAATTATGAAATAAATATTCAGGTACATTTAAAAGCAAAAGCAATACCCACCAAAATAATCATAATTAAATAAACTGATTTGAGAAATGTCTTATTTTTGTACTAATTTATTTTCTAATAAAAACTAGTGCTTAACACTAAAAAATTAAAATTAACCTGCACATTTATTGATTTTAGATTCTCTAATTATTTTAGTTGTTTAGATTTTTTTAATATGTTATAAAGGCAGTTTTAGTCCTCCATATTGATCCAACTGCTTTTTTTCAGACCATCAACACTGTGTCAGAGGTCATCCGGGGGTCACAGGTCAACCAGGATTACTTTGCATCCGTCAACGCTCCTTCAAACCCACCCAGGTAAGAAACATCCTGAGACCTAAAGCCCCCACTTTCCATCTGATAGTTAACTAATCCAACTTGAACTTCCTCTGTCCGTAGACCAGCCATCGTGGTGCTGCTCATGTCCATGGTGAATGAGAGACAACCGTTTGTGCTTCGCTGCGCCGTCCTCTACTGTTTCCAGTGTTTCCTGTACAAGAACCAGAAAGGACAGGGAGAGATCGTGGCTACGCTGCTGCCCTCCACCATTGATGGTAAGTTACACCGAGTTGAGAATTTAGAAGTTCATTTTCAATTTCTCCTGACAAGACATTGATCACTTCCCTCGTACCAACCGTACTTCAGTTGTTTTATATCTTTCAAGAGTGCAAAGTCTTAAAGCCGCCTTTTTTTTTTTTCGTAGTTATGCTTTGGATTCAACACTTATAAAACACTGACAGGCTGTTTATATACAATAACAAAAAATATTTGAAAAAAAGATGCTACGATACTATTAAATCTAAGCACTTCACTCATAGAAATAGGCTTTAAAAAATAATAATTATAACATTACAAATAAAATACTTAATTGTAACGAATTGGCTTTATAGAGTGCCACAGTGACGCGTCCTAAAACCCGGAAGTAAGTTAACATTTTACCACTTCCGGTTCCTTCGACAAAAACCAATGCAATTTCTCCATAGGATTTTGGAAATAGCTCGAAATAAGCTCTGTGGAAAGACATGTGGAGATTATCCGGCTGAACAAAACGTGATCCGTCTCTTACATTTGTGTCAACCACAGACCTTTTTAGGTCTTCCGGGTTTTAGGACGCGTCACTGTGGCACTCGATTGGTGGGAAAGTTACAAATATGTGGTTCTTTAGCTTTTGAGGTGTAATACTATATTTATATTTCTTTAAGGTTATATCATTTCTGAGATGTTGAACAGTTGTTGTTGTTGTTGTTGTTGTTGTTGTTGTACACTATGCACATGAACACATCTAAATAATGGTAAATATTGCTTAATTATTTGAAGTATGTACAAAAGAATCCGTTACTGACTGGCTCACATTTCTCCCTCAGCCAATTCCATCTCCGCGGGCCAGCTGCTGTGCGGAGGCCTGTTCTCAGCGGACTCTCTCTCCAACTGGTGTGCCTCCGTGGCCCTGGCCCACGCCCTGCAGGACAACCTCACCCAGAAGGAGCAGCTGCTGAGGGTCCAGCTGGCCACCAGCCTGGGGAAGCCCCCCGTCTCCCTGCTGCAGCAATGCACCAACATCCTCTCACAGGTAGGAAGAGAACACTTAGCTGCAGGAACGAAGAAGAGGTTACCTGTGTGTCTGGATAGGAAGGGTTCTGGGGCAAATTAGGGTTACAGTCTATGGTTAATACTGAAGTGTCAACAACGGTGAAAAGAACGGTGTAACGTTATGTGGTTTTGCAGGGAGATAAGATCGCTCGGCGGGTAAGTAACGCTTGTGTGTGAGTGTGTGTGTTTTGTGAGTGTTTGGGCAGCATCTAAGCTGGTTATTTTGGCCTGGCATCTGAAGTAGTGGTCTTGTTGGCCCACATGTTTGGGGATCTTGCTTCCCTTAACTCCCTGCTACCCCTCATTCACCCCTAACCTCCGGTTTAGACCCCTCTCTTCCTCATCAGGGTGGCACACTAGTTGCTCTCACTGTGTGCACTAGTGGGGAAGTACACACATGGACAGCCAAGCAGCTTGTTTGTTTTTTGTGGGTTTGTCATCCTAACACCTTTTGAGCTGTGAGTGGTTTGTTTGCAAACCCCTTATCTGTGTGTTCAGGAAGTTTGCTGCTGCAGCTTCGGGGCCTTTTCCTGTCCAAGTGAGAGATCTCCTCTCTTGTTTGTCTGGTTCCTTTTTCTTACATGTACCTGCTTGCAAATGCAGGTGCCAGAAAAAGTGATAGTTATAATGATTAGTTAAATATCCCCTGTGGGTTCAGCTGGTTACACATATATTAATGGCTACAAGATGAAGGTTGAAGTTATTCAACTCAATTAACTTTTTCCTGGGAGTTTCTCAGTTTGCATTACTCTCTTCATGCCTCCCTTCTTCCTGTTTACGCTAGTTATGTCTGTAGTGAAGGAGCAAAACCCAGCCCCCCCTCGGACCTCCACCTTACTTACTTTGTCATGTTCAGCCAGCCATAAAAGATAACGAGAAGCAAGCACCAAGGCTTCATGTACCTACGCTGTAAATGTATTATCTTTTCGATTTACACACGGCATCTACTGCACGTCTGTCCGTCCTGGGAGAGGGATCCCTCCTCTGTTGCTCTCCCTGAGGTTTCTCCCATGTTCCCCTTTAAACTGTGGGGTTTTCTCTGGAAGTGTTTCCTTGTACGATGTGAGGGTCTAAGGACAGAGGGTGTCGTATTGTCATGGATGAAAATGGCTTCTTGGAATTACACTTCCTCGTGGGGGAGGAGTCTGAGTGCAGGAACTCGAGCAGTATTAGATTAGTGTGGCATCAGGAGACGTGCATTACGGAAGGAGCTGACCCCGAGATTAAGCTCTCTGCTATTTGTCATGCGGACTGCAAAGAATCAGATTGGTTACGGGGGGGAGGAGCACGGACATCCGGTAGTTATATAAGTCCTGATCCTTTATGTGAAGCAAACAGCAGATGTGGAAGTGTCTTTATTTCTCTCTCTTGAGTCTTTGACTTTAGTTTTAGTTGGTTAGTAGCGGTCGTTTTAAACACAATCCACCGCACAAACACTTACAGAAGCACGGTGTGTACTTTGTTTTTTGAAAAAGGCAAATGTTTCTGAGTGAATGCTCGTGGTCTTGTTCCTGTCTATTTGTTTTCCTCTTCATTTTTGCATTGCATCACATTTGGAGATTAAATCTGAAAAGGTGATTTTGTACGTTTTTATAGTTTCTAATGCTGATAAGTAGAGATGTCCCGATCACCTTTTTTTGCTCCCGATCCGATTCCGATCATTTGATTTTGACAATTTGCCGATACCGATTTTTCCCGATCCGATCTTTATGCAATGCATTAAGAGAAAAAAAAGAAAAAAAGCATTCAAGTTGTTCCTTAAGGTTATTTTTTAATTTAAATTGGATATTCTATCCAACATGGATATAGCTTCTTTCTTTCACAGCAGCATTGGATC